AATTAAGCTGTACAGTGACTCTCTGGCACGATATGGAAAAAGCCCATATTTGTATCCACTTTATGGTTTGGGAGAACTGCCACAAGGATTTGCACGGTAAGATATGCATCAAATTGATCGTAGTTTTGAAAGCCTTAATTTTTTTATGTTTGTAAAGCTTTTATTATTACATTACTTCAAAAAGAAGTCACATTATAACATTAACAGGTTAACTTAGAATAATAAGCCATTATACAGTAAGTGATTGGTTAACCAATCACCCACTGTGGACTATTCTTGATTTTTGCTTTTATTCTTTATAAAGATCATTTTTATGCTTTTAGTAAAAAGTTTGATAATGTTTTGAGCTTAAGGTTTTATATTTATTTCAAATTGCTATCTTTTTGGATTTAGTATTATTTGCTCTGTCATTTTATTTATTTTTTTTATGGTTTAATGCCAGTATTTTGTTAATAGATGTAGGAATAGAATAAGTGATTGTGATTAAATTATTTTCACTACTTGTAATTTAGAACAGAAATAATAAAGAATAAATTTGGTCAAGATGGTAATAATCATTTTGTCCACATTTTATTAGTATGATTTAACTGTAATTTTGTAAATGTAATAGTTTTATAATAACCTGTGTGAAAGAGTATGTAGTGTTATGCACTGAATAAAATATTGTTCTGTTTGGTATAATTCTTGTTTTATCCTGAAATTATTTTTAAGATATACTTCGAAGTTTCAGTTCCAAATAAAATTTATTTTATGGTTACATTTTGATGATTGCTTTTTCATTGTAATTTGATTGTAATCCAAATAAGGAATCTGTAAATTTGTTTTTAATGATATGGCAAAATCTGCAATATTTTTGATATTAAAAGCTTGGATGATAAATAACTTTTGAATTTAAAGCACAAAAATCACTAAAAACTTCAAAGCCTTTATTATAGCTGTCCTTCACATACATCAGGAACCATAGTCATGTAGCAAAGTTGACTTTATTATGACTGGGAGGACTTCAGAAACAATTTTTGCATGCCAAGGTGAGACCCTCTGAAGATACAACAAACCACATAGCAAAAATTTATGATGTGAAAAATTATAATGAAGACACTGAATTTTAGTTGGTTTTTTTTTTTTTTTATTACTTATAAAAATATGAATTTTTGATTTTTTAAATTGAAGCTTGTAGCTATAAATTTGCCCTTTGTCAAATGCATGTTTATTAATGTATTAATCTGAAGTTTTTATGTAAAAACAGTTATACGGTATAATTGGCAGATCAATTTTTAATTTGATAGTAGTGGACGTTCAGCTGAAACTTTACAATCCTGAAATAATTATTTTCAGAATTATTTTATCTTTAAAATGAAAATTTAGCATACAAGTACAGTAGAGTGTCAGTTATCTGAATTAATTGGGGACTGGGATTGTTCGGAAAAGCAATTTTTCGGATAACCGATTATGTACAAAAAAATACATTATTAATATAGTATATTAGTATATCCCAATAATAGAATATTAATATATCCCATGTTAAATTTTTCTCCATTGCGTGTCACTTCGTGTTGAATTTTCGTCGATCTTAAGCCTAACGAAAATTTTTATAATAATAATTTTGGCTGTTGTATTGTTAAAAATTATTTCTTTATTTTGTACAAACAAAATAAATATATTGAAAAATAGTTTTTAAAAATTTATACTCTAGAAGTTAATCTAGTATCAAAAACGTTCGATTCAGCACGGCAGTCTGACTGGTATGCTTTTGGTTAACCAATGTTTTGGTTGATCGGCATTCAGATAATCAACGCTCGACTGTATTGCCAATGTTACCATAGAATATGTTTTTATTTAAATATACTAATGCACATTTTAATTTGGTTTTGCTTTTTATAATTTTTGACTAAAAGTCTTTAGGCATCACTTAGTGCATGCCTATTTCACATAATCTGTAAATGTTAGTACTTTCCTGAGAAGTTTATATCTAATCCTTGTAATAAAAGTAAATGTTAATAATCCAAAAATGCATCAGATTTGTTTTAATAATTTATTTTGATTATTTAAACAATTGATATTCATTGGTTTTTTTTAATACTTTACATCCACATATTAAATCAATACAATGCAGTTTTTAATGGATACAACTGAAAAACAACTTTATTTTAATATACTAGTTATGTAATCATATCAAATAAGAGAAATTTTGTAACATTTGTTTTATTTGTGACATTGTTCTATTTGGATGAGGCCTTTGTAGAAACACTTGTATTCATATTGGCAGTGTCATTGAATTTCATCTTATTTTCTCTCAATATATTGGAAAATATTTTTTTTTTATTTGTGTACTTTCTTACAAATTTATTCCATTGTATTTTATAGAATTTGCAGAAGCTCACAAATTTCTTTGAAATGACTATAAAAAATTATCTTAATACTTAAACTTCTTTGCATGATTTTACTTATATATATATTGATATAAAAAAATCAATTTCAGAATTCAACTATGTAGTATCAGTTGACATAGTAATAATTCAGCATTGATTTCTTTTTGTAGTTAAAACAGATTATACATTTGTTATTTTTCTGACTCCTTTAAATAATTTAGTCGTACTGTTGATGACTTTGGTTAAGATGGCTGTTTAAATTCCTTAACTCTATCTATCTATAATTGTATTATTATAGCTTTTAATTTTTGAAAAAAAATCAATGTAATGCAAAATCATTAGAGTTCTGTATCTTTCCAACATGTTTCAGTATTTTAAATTTGTTTTTTAGAGTTTTTTTTAGTTTAAAGTTCTATATTTGAGCAATATAGATTGCTCAAATATAGAACTTAAACAATTATTTTTTCTCCTAAGAAATTCTTGATAAACTTTTTCAGAATCTTTACATAAAGAAATTTTAATTTGTTTCAATGAAATTTTTATTTCAATAAAAGCATTTCTTCTTATCTGTAGAAATAGTGATATTTTACAAAATACTTAAATTCATATTCCATATTATTAACTACATATTAAGTATGTTTAAATAGAAAAATAGTAGAAGTTTTAAAACTGGTGATAAAGGCATGTTGCAGTTTTTTAAAGTTTTTATTTATTTATTTTTTTGCATAAAAGATAAAATGCTTGAATTCATTGCCTTTTTCATTACATCTTTTAAATATTTAATAATGAAAAGTTTTTAATGTAAATGCAATTTACTGTAACTTCTTAGATTGAGTGCTATTTATGGTGGTACGTACATGTTGGATAAACCTATTGATGAAATTGTCCTGGAGGATGGTAAAGTAGTTGGTGTACGTTCTGGAAAAGAGATTGCAAAATGCAAACAAGTATATTGTGACCCATCCTATGTTCCTGATCGTTCAGAAAAAGTAGGACAAGTAAGTAGCTAAAACAATAAATTGTAGTAAATTTTAATTTTTTTTTTCTTGAAAATTAAATTAATTAATTAAATTGCAATTATTTGGAACAGAAAGGAGTTTTAAAATGTTACTAAATTCAAAGAAAATGTGGCCATTTTTCAAAACATGGAAAATTTTTTTATTACAGAAAACAAATTCATTAAAAGAAATATTTTACCTTACTTCAGGTCATTGTCAGTCATTATATACAGTATGGAAATGAGATGTCAATTAGAAGCCAATAAAATTGAATATAATTTTTAAAAGTATTAATAAGAGTACAAAAATCTATTGACCAAACTCAAATATAATAATTAAATTACACAATATATACAATAACTGTAAAATTTAAGTTGATAAACATTTTAAAAAGATTTCAAATGAACAAAATAGTAATACTTTTTTATATTAATGAAAAATAACTCCAAGTTATTTTAGTTGAATGTGTGTGAAAAGAGCTATTTATAGACAACAATGGCAAATAATGAAATTTAATGTTAATTTAAAGGTGTATGAGCAAAATTTAGTAGAATGCTTCATTTCCAAAATTTAAGTCTAAAATTAACTGAGCTTAAAGTAAGTTAAAAATGTTTTGTTTTAATAAATAAACATTTGCTCTGGATAAAAGTAACTTGTATTCTATGTTTCAAAATTATATTTCAAATCAATCATTATTAAATTCTAAAATTTTAGTAATGATTACTTTAGTACTTTCAAAATTTAAAATATAAAAAGTACTAAATGAGTAGTTTCTTGATTAGGCCACTTTGAATGACTAAGAGTTTAATAGAGTATTTGTGGTAAGCTCCTCTTGCTTTTAGAAGAGCTAATTTCTAGAAATGCTATGATCTGTGAACATGCATACTGACAGCACTGTCTTTCTAGAATTACTCTTAAATCTTGCTGGAGAGATGGGGATTGGATTTAGATGCACAATCCAATACATGCAAATGTTTGATATGTGAAGTAAGGCGAAACCATAATTTTTAGATTGTCAATAAAAAAAATATTATAATTCTCATTTATTTTCATTAGAGATGTATTAATTGGTTCCTCCCAATTAGACATTTAATGATTCATTCTGTAATATTTGACTTAGATCTATTAGAATTATTCTATTAGAAAAACATAATTTTATTACTTTTTAATTAAAACTTAAGACTAAAAATTGAGTATTAAATCTAATCCATAATTCAGGATAATCATGGATCCAGTATTGTTTGTTTTCAGTCTGAAATAGTTTTTTTTTTCAAGAAATAAGCTTCAGTCTCATTCATAGCCAATTATCACATCTGATTATTCACCTTCAATGTCATCTTATTTTTGAATTTTTTTTCATTTTTAAACAAGTAGATTGTTATTACATTGCCAGTTATTCCATATTACTTTGGTAACTATGTTGCAGTCAAAAAAAATGTGTGTGGAAGTTATTGTACTTTACATAAATCAGTCACTTAATAATGGAAAAACATGACTGCTAAAAGTAGCCATTCTGAGCAAATAGGTGCAATGATAACAGTATAGAATAGCCAAGAAAGTAATACAATTCACATTAATTTATGATGTTTCATTTTACATAGTGTGAAGAAACTTGGACAAATAGCATAATCAAAAATTATCCTAACTAACAAGGAAAGGGTCAGACATTTGGATATCCAATTCAAACCTTGATGAGCATGTGGCCATAAATTCAAACAGTTCTTTTATTTCATAATAAAATATTTGTTAAACACAGAAAGTAAGAAGTAAACTAATAATCTTAATCTTTGCTGTTGTTTTTTTTGCCTGAGCAATTCTGGGCTAATCTGCTAGTATCTAAATAAAATAGATATCATAAATATAATAGTAGGAGAAATGAAATGAGTAGTTTTATGTAAGATAGTCTTAAGATTTGAATTTGAGGATATTGTTGTTTTTATTTGAATGACTAATCTATATAAAAATTAAATTTTATCTTAAATTATATACAAAACATTTTTAAATACTAATTAAATATGAGGTCTGTCTTAAACTGTTTGATAAAAAAATTTTATTATAAATGCAGGTTGTTCGTTGTATTTGTCTGATGAATCATCCTATTCCAAATACTAAGGATGCACTATCTTGTCAAATCATCATTCCACAGAAACAAGTAGGCCGAAAATCAGGTAAAGTTTGTTTCTATAATATGCATTTTTAGTATTTATTCAGCAACATTCTAATGCTGTATTTACTCACGTATAAGACGCTGTTTTTATTCATTTTTCACTGCTTCAAAAACCTAGATTGTCCTATATGTGTGAGCGACGGATTCTTTGTTTTTTTTATAAATTTTTGTGAAATGTGAATTCACATTTATTACATGATGCTCACCCTCTGGTGTTTAAAAATGTAAGTATTTTATCTTGGTAGTTTGAATCATTCTTGTATATTGTCAGAAGTAAAGATGAATAGGAAAAGCAAAACTTTTGAATTGAATTCCAAATTGAAATTCCAAAATCACATGGAACCTGATATAAGTTTTAATCCATTCTCACATGAAACAAATGATTATTCGGAAATCAGAATTTGGAGAAACTCATAAGTGTAATTGATGGAGCGGATTTGACTGTTAAGAATTGGCAAAAAAGATTCCCGATCATCCGGCTTTACATAAACAAATTACATTGTTGATTTTACAAGATTTTTCCTTAAAGTTTAAAATGCCAGTAATTTTTGCGGGACAATGTGTGTGCATTTACATTCATTTGATATTTTATTTGTGATTAAATGAAATAAAATTAAAATTGTATTAATAAATCTAATTTTTCTTATTTTGATCTTTAAAGTCACACCTCGTCCTATATGCGAGATCGTCTTACATGCGATTAAATACAGCATATAAATACGTATGTGCATACTTGCATAACTTAAATATTTATGTACTATGTAAATGAGCGATTTGGGAAGTAAGTTTTGTCTGATCACAAAGGTGACACATTTTGGACATTCCTTTATTGCTAAAAATTTACATGTCTGTACACCTATTTTTCAATGTAATCACTACCTGAAATTGAGGCACAAGCTTTTTTCTTCTGTCACCAGTTTCTTAAAACAGTCTGTTTTGATCCTAAGTAGTTTATGAAGATGGCTTAATTTGAATTTTATCAGCATACTGTTGTACCAGAAGAGCAAGATATAAATGTCCTGATATATTTGCTGTGTTCCTGCATTTATCAGACATTCATAATTGTATCAGAATAAGCAAGATCAAAAATCTTACCCCACTTATTTTGTAACAGGAATCTTGTTGAAATAAGTTTATGAATCCTGACTAACAGTGTATGCAGATGAGTATTTGTAAGACTGAAAAAAAAAAAAAATACTATGGGCTATTGAATACAACTGACATGATACTCAGAACTCTGGCATTTTGTTTTGTAACATTGAGGGACCACACATCTAAATATATATAACTCAAAGGTGACTGACATAGTGATCTATCAACGCACAGCCCAAACCACTAGACGGATCGGGCTGAAATTTGGCATGCAGGTAGATGTTATGACGTAGGCATCCGCTAAGAAAGGATTTTGATCAATTCTACCCCCAAGGGGATAAAATAGGGGATGAAAGTTTGTATGAAACTTTGTCAATTTTAAACCGATCGGGCTGAGACTTTGCATGCATAAAGCTACTATGACGTAGGCATCCCCTAAGAAAGGATTTTGATAAATTCCACCCCTAAGGAGATAAAATAGGGGATGAAAGTTTGTATAAATCTCCTTAGATTTTCGACTGATTGAACTGAAATTAAAGATTGGAGCTACTATGATGAAGACGTCCACTTAAATAGGATTTTGATAAATTCAACCCCCATGGGGATAAAATAAGGGATGATGTAGGATGTACTGTACATGTATTAGTTTGAACCTATCAGTACCTAATGGAACGAATAAATTAAGACGAACAAAATAATTTTTAGTTCTAAATGTTGACAATAGATGGCGTTAGTAGTATTTTAAAACGCGCTATCGTTGTGTTTTCACTGAGTTACATATACCTGATGATGAGTGGCCGCCGTATCTAATAGTACATACTATACCTAATTAATAATAATACTTCTTAACGCGAGTGAAGCCGCGGGCAAAAGCTAGTTATTACTAAAATGGCTTCTAAATAGTTTGATTGGAGCAGATGAAAAATTGTGTCTGCTCCAATCGTGCACTGACTTTCCATCTGTGAGGGATGCAACAACAAGTGGACCCACCAACAGTGAAAGGGAAAATTTGGAGAGACACGTGGTGGATACGACCCGATCAGGGTGTGTACCCGGGGTGTGAGATTTATCGGAGGGTGTGGCAGTTAGGGACGGAAGTGAAGGAGGAGAGGGGGAAAACGACGAAGGAGCAGTTGAACCGTTCTTCGCCCGCGCTTGACATCATTGACCGTTAACTGTGTAACCAGCCAAACGAATAATAAAAGTGTCTCATCCATAGTCTCATCCTTTTGGGTTATTGCGCATAGACATGACACCATCTGTTTCTGCATTTGAAAGTAGTGCTGACAGCAACATTGCAAGATTGAGCTAAGAATCTTGTAAGTTTTCAATAGTCTAAAAAATCTTGTCTTTAATACAAAAGTAACTTGATTTGTAATGATTGCCAAAGGAGATAAATATTTATGTAAACTTTTGACAATATCAAAGATGTTTGTTTTTTGTTCAATTGGAACTTACTTTCTGAATGATTCTCATATACTCTCTCTAAATGCAGACTGTTATATACAGCTTTGTAAAATAAACTGACTGACTAAACCTAAATATAACTAATGATTAAAAAACTCCTCTATAATGTGACTGAAGGGTTGGCACCAGATCTTTGGTTCCTCTCAAACATTTCACTAAATTTTCAGGATGTGCTGCAACACTTTTGATATTTTTACATTGTCATTGGATTTTTTAGTGATTTCAAACTTTTGTGGGACTTAGCACATGCCCCGACTTTCAAAATTGACCATACACACTAATAAACAAAATTAAGATTTGAGTAAGAATGTCATTAAGATATGAAGACGTTCAGGAATTGGTCCTTACTCAACTGTTTAGTTGATCTAGCTCTGTGGGCAGATGCGCAGTGTCGTGTTAAAATGTCCATTCTTGATTCCCGAAATGTTTAAATTTTAGACCAAGGAATGACAACAGTCTCAAAGATCTCTAGGCAGCAAATTTTTTCCTACAAAAACTAAGTTTTGCCACTGGCAAAGATTTTAGCCCAGACAAAGAGACTAAGGATTTTGACAGTGTCTAATGATGGTAGATGTTCTGGAAATCTTGGCTGACCAGATTCATTTTGTTAAATGTGTGGTTGCTCCATGTAAACAATTTCTCGCTTGTGAAAAGAATCTCTTTCCAGTAAATCTGCAGAATAACATAAGAGGGCATAAGAGTGCAGTCTTTGTTTTCTTTAAGAAACTGGACAATTTTTTAGCTTGTAAGAACCTTGATTTTGATATACTTTAGGATAATTTGATAAATACAAGAAATGTTGACTGCATTTTCTTCCAGGACAGTTATCTTGCTTAATTGTTTTTGAAACCAGTTGATGAAACATGTCAGTTTGAAATTGTTTGGACATTTGATTTCCAGTTTCAAATAAAGAAATAATTCCAATTTTCTACATTTGTCATATTTAAAAACAAACAACAATGTTACCATGGGAACAAATATGGAGAAGAATGTGAAGAAATTAATATTTTATACTCTCTTCAGAACAAAATAAATTTTAACATTTTTTTGTCAACCTGTAAAGCAAATCTGTTTAAATAATTTTATTAGGTTTTACTCACCTGTTTTCTTAATTTTCTATCCAAAAAAAATTCTTAAATTGTAATATTCTTGGGCATTACAGTCTGATTTTTTTTTTTTTAATGGCTACCAAACCAATTTGTTGTGCTAGACAAGAGTTTTATCTGTACAAAGTGTAATTTTTCAAGAGATGATCTGAAAATTTGATGGTAGATACAGGCAAAAGTATAAACAACAGATAAATTTTTTTACATACAATTTTGTTGCATCTATAGATATTCAGTGATATATAGTTCTGTGATTTTACAGATAGACCCTTTTTTGTATCAGGGATGAATTGGGTGAGTTTTAGCACAGATAGAACCTTATAATCCTGTAATGTTTACATTAACTAAACTAAATTTAACAGGAACCTGATTCCATTAATGAAGTTTATTTTCTAAGCATTTAAAATGTATGTGTTTTTATAACTTTTTTGTAGTTTTTACATGGGATTTCTGAATTGCTGTGTAGGCAATTTATTATCATAAAACCTCTAATGTTGCAATTAAGTAGCAACATCACCGCTGTTTATTTCTAAGGCAGCTTTTGCAGTATTCAATATCAGTCTTTAAATCCACTTGAACACAGATTTGATATCAGTCGTCTTAATTGTGGAAATCTGTTGGTTCTATCTGATGGGCATTTCTTTACTGTAGGAAACACCCATTAGCTGAGAATTGCTCCTTTTTGTCAATCTGTTGTCTTTGGTATATCCAAATACCAACAGTGGTAAAGGATATTGTTCTCATAGCTTATATTGTATCCAAGGGAATAAAGATTTGCAAAGGTGAACTGCAATTGTGACCAGAGTGTAGGCAACCTGTTGATATGCAAAAGACTGAGACTGACTGAAAGTGAAGTAATTGGATCTTTTTCCTTTGAATAACTTGGTATGGATTCTTCTTGTCTATCTTGAACAAAGTCTGTATGAATGTTAAAAGTGATCATATCTCAGCAACATCAAGAGCTTTTTCAGTTTATGAATGATATTGTCTATTTTTTGAATGCAGGCATTTTCCAGAGTAAATATTTCATGATTTTCCCACACAAGGAAAAGGTTGAAGCAAATCAGCCATTACAAGAGAGACAATTGAATTTGTTTTGCAGAATGCAGCTGTCACTCCACATTATCAACTTTGTCATATTAGTGTGATTATTTAAATTGCTCATGTTAATTTTTTAAATGCTTCACACACTAAAAGTACACATATCACCCAAAACATGACCAATTTGCCTTGTATTGGTTGTATTCTATCATCTGACAAAGTTTTGTCACAATCTGTGATGGAGATTTCTTATTTCAACTTTGAATTATCTCTAAGAGCAGTATCTTTCCAAAGGTAAATTTTTTAGGGATAACAGACCATTAGTTTTGTAAAGTAATTCTGGGAAAATCCCTAGATTTGGTCACCTCCTGCTCATTGATAGTCAAACACTTGCACTTTGTATCAGTAATTATCTGACACATTGTTAATATTTAGACAGTAACTCTGCAGCATCTGAAACTTTGGTCTCTCTCTGTGTGTGTGTGTGTGTATGGATGGCCTTCATGGAATTGGGCACACATTATTGTCTATTTCAGACAGAACTCTCTTATTCTGATGGGTACATGCATTTTGCAGAGGAACTAAATCCTTTTCTCTAGTATAGTTTATAAAATTACAATGCCATAAATACAGAATGCAGATCCAAGGTCACATTCACATAGCATCAATAACTTAATTTTGACCAAAATTGCAGATAGAACATTCTTATTCTAGAATAACAAATTGTGACAGGTGTTCGATGTGCATTCTAACACTATATATTTGGTCGTAAAAGTTGTGCACATTTAATACAAATTTTCCAACTACTGTATGTTTAAAATTGTAATAGTTTAAATTATTGTTAGTTATCTAGGTACCTTCAAATTTGTATATTCATAACACAACTTTGCATTTATTTATTTTTTCAGATATCTATGTTTCATTAGTATCTTACACTCATCAAGTTGCAGCTAAAGGTTGGTTTGTAGCTATGGTTAGTACTACAGTGGAAACCAATAATCCGGAGAATGAGATTAAGCCTGGACTTGATGTATTGGGACCAATCAGACAAAAGTAAGCTAATTTTTAAAATTTACATAATTATTTTGATGATTCAATAACAGCAGCACAAGCCTAGTTTCTCAGCAAATATTTTTAAGATCTTGTTATGTTCAGAATAAAAAATTGATTTCTCAATGCAACTCATTCATAACAATAAAATAACTTAGGCTAGTTATTCTGGAATCATCATTACTAATTTTGTTATTGCTTTCATTTACTTACCTTAATTTTTTTAATAGATTTATATGGGTGAGTGATGTTTATAGACCAAAAGATGATGGCAGAGAAAGTCAGGTATGTTCCAAATATGATAATTTCTAATTAAATCACTTTTCCAGAAGTTTAGCATTAGTTTAAACTTTTTAAATACAGTGGGTGATCGGTTAACGAACAAATTGGATAACGAACACTTTTGCGAAAGTTTTTATGATCGGACAACGAACACTTGACTGAACAAACACAAAAAGAGGAGACGTAAAATAACGAATACCGATTGGTCTTCCTTTGTCTTCAGGCAACAATTCAAAACTTTTCAGAGCGCGGGAGACATCGACGTTCTACCCAGTATATACTGATAGGATAGTATTCTCCCGAACTTTGAAACTTTCCCTTGTAATTCCAGCTTTTTATATTTCTGACAGAAACAATTCTTTTACATTTTCTTATGAAAATGCGGATTTATGCCGATATCTGCTATTAAAGATCTTTTAAAGAAGTGGGAGGATGTTGTTCTGACAGAACAACGGTCTTAAAATGATCTTGACTTCTAGAAGTAATTAGAATAAGAGTCAAGTAAAAAGAAATAACTAATTTATAACTGATTACAGATAATAAATATATGTAATTTTTAACTCTTTTGCTACTTTCTGTAAATTTGCTAATAGGAAAAAAATCTAAAGATTTTTTTTTATTGGAATTAGTATACAATTAGCTGAGAATTAATAATTAGCAAGTTTAAAGCAGGTAAATATTTTTTTAAATTGGGCAACATAAAATTTATCTTTTTTAACTGTCAGAAATAATTTTCTTTTAGCTTGAAAGAAATTTTCATTCACTTCCTTCAGATTTTTTTTATCTACCATCCATTTCTTAATTCTTTTATTTTTCTTTGATTTCCTTATTGTTTTAAAACATAAATCATTTTGATGAATCTTCAAATGAAAAACATTAAATTTTACGAATATAAACATCTACCGAAACCCAATGCTTAGCAAATACACACCCACAATTGCCGTAAAAGAATCTGCCTGCTTTGGGCAGATTCTTTTCTTCCAGTTTATTCTAAATCAATTAATTAAATATTATACTTATTAAATTTAATACGAGATGGTGCCTAATACCTCCCTCTAGTGCCAAATTTATTTGTAATTCATAATTATTAATTCCAAAATATAGCCTGAATATTTACGGCAATTGTGGGTGTCTGTTTACATTAAAGTTTAAGATGTCATAAAACTGCTTAACAGATATCAAAATTTAGTAATTTTTTTAAAAGTTATTTCTAAGACATTTTTTTCCAAAAAAAAAAAAAAAGCTTACTGTTGGCTTTTTATGTAATTTTGTGTAACAATGTAAATGAAATGGTTATTGAAATTCAGTCAATATTTGTATAGTCCATATTTAATGACTAGTCAAAGAATATTTAAAAGAACATTGGAATCATTGCTATCATTAAAGGGGGAAGGAAATAAAGGCTCAATTTTTGCCTTTATTTCTTTTTTATGTTCAAAGAATATTATTTTATTCATTTTTTACCTAAAACAGAGAGAGAGACTTTTTTGCACTTCTGTTACTTGCAAAGAAGTTTTTATTTTAAAAATGGAATGGTTTTCAGCTATGGTGGTGGTAGAATAAAAAGCCCCAGAATGTATTTATGGCACTGTGTGACATTTTGTGAAATGATTACAGACTAGCATTAATTCTACAATATCCCAAACATGTTTAATGGTGATATAGAAGACCAAATTATAATGCAGAAGTTGAATGTTTCTGGAATGAATTTGTGAGTGGGCACATTGTCTAGAAATTAGACTTAGATGATAAAATTGCATGATGGGGTTGGTTTTTAAAATACTAGAAATGAAAAAGAAATCATTTAAAATGTTTTATTTAGGCTTTTTGATGCTTTGAAATCTAATGAAGAATCGTAAACTAATAACTTAATCAAAATATTCTTTCTTTCTTCTTTTATAATAATAAACATTATAAATATTTTAATGTGCTGCTTATACCAAATTCATAATCCTAAATGATAAATTCTGGATTAACATTTTTATGATTTTGTTTTGAACATTTCCTCCTTGAAAAATTCAGTTTCAGTTCAAATAGCATTGTATAGATTTGAAAGAGAGCAGTAATTCATAATTGTAGCAAAAGGGTTAATTATTATATAAATAAAAGGTAATGAAATTTTTAAGTATTAATTCTTAAAATTTCATTTTAGATATTTATCTCTGAATCTTACGATGCCACTACTCATTTTGAGACTACCTGTCTTGATGTATTGGATATCTTCCATAGAGGTACTGGAGAAGATTTTGATTTCTCTAAAGTCAAGCATAACTTGGGAGACGAACAAGATTAGAAATTTCAAATAGCTCTTTCACGTCCCATTTTGTCATTAGAGATATCCTTTCTATACAGTTCTCTTTAAACTGCTGTGATGATGAAGTTTCAGGAGAGTTTCCAGAAATCAGCTTTATATGTTTTATTTTTTATTTTTAATTGTCTTTTGAAAAATTGGTGTATGTATACATATCTCGAATGAGAAGGGAGCAAATTGTCCAATAGGGAATATTGTCCTAGGCTGTAAAATCTTGTCTTTTCACACTGCATTTGTTTCAACAGTTAAATTGTAAAAATAGTAATATGTGACCCTATAAATGTTACAATAACCCATCTGATTTTTGCAATGGTTAATGTAATCTTAAAAGGTCGACATACGCTACATCATATTAAGCCTGTGTAAAACAGTTAAATGTAGTGATATAAAGCTCCGCACTGCATCACAGCAACTAGCAACCATTTAGATGCCGTGAAAACATGGGAAATGTATTGTATTGAGTTTTCAAAGTCTGTTGGCTGAAATTAACATTCCTAACAGAATGTGTTTCTAGTAAGAATGCTTATTATTTTATTGCAACTTTGAGAAATGGACATTTGAATGTGGCTTTTACCTTAAAATTGCCACAATGGAACAACAAAATTAAATTGTATGACTGCTTACATTTTGGTGTGATCTTTTCTTTTGTTTTATATATAATATATAACAAAACACAGTAAATTACAATACAATATATAGTAAAAGTTGCAGTATTACACAGGATAAGTGATTCACAGCATATTAAAACTGATTTCTTTCTTTAGATTCAGAATTAAAAGGAGAATTTTTTAGTTTGGTTATCTCTAGAATTTGCAAACTTTTACAACTGAATTGTTACACATTGAAATAAAAGCATTATATAGTATTTTGTAAACTCAAAAATTTATTACTCATAATTTAATAGATTAAAGTGCATCTCAAAATATTAAAGCTCTGGATATTTTTTCCTTAAATTTTATTAAATTGATTTTTTTTACTTTTTACATTATCAAAAATAATTAGTAATATAACTGTTTATAAGAGTGATTTGTATGATTTTTTTTTCAAGTGATTAGTAAAAATGATTTAGTAAATATCAAGTAATGTGGTGTCTGAAAAATCTCACTCCTTCAAAAAACTGAGCCTTAACAGAACTCATATAAGAAAAAAATATTGTTTCAGTGATTTAGTAAAAATGGCTTATCACTTGTAGTTAAATCAGTAGAATAATTTGGTACACAACTCTCAAGTCTGTTCAAAATTGCATCTGACACCTCAGTCTTTGTTAATGCTGGTGGTAGTTTAATATTTTTTATAGCCTTTTAGTTTACTTTATTGTATTTAGGAATTCAGTTAGCTTAAAGAGATTAAGTTTTGTAATGTTTGATATTAAAAGAGAGTAATCAAAAATTTGAAAATTCTTTTGGAAATCACATTTGACAGAAACAAGTGAAAGTAGGTTAAGAGTAGACTGCATACACTAAAACTAAAATACACTGTACTAGTATGTTAAATTAAGGGGAAAACAAATTTAAATAAACACTTCCACAAAATTTAATCACTGCTTGGGCATAGGTTTTGACATAACTCAAAGCTATAAAATAACAAATGTCTACTATTGTGATGAAAGTAACTGTTAGAAGCTTGTAAATGTATTTAAGATGTTAGTATTTGTCTATGCTTGAAGTCAATAAGATGTATTGTCACCTCAAATTACTATAAACATCATAATGATACTTCTTGCCTTCAACAAGGCTGGTTCAAGCACTCAATAGAGAAACATTACCATCCTTTAGCAGAGCACTTTTCAGCCCATGAATTCTTAGAAGAGACTTGTAAGTTGCAGTCCTAAAGCATTCCATGCATACTTAATGGAAATTAAGATTTTGGACCTGGTTGACAATGTTTTCTCTCACTTTCCATTTGGAGGTATCGAGGTGTGCATTATTGTCTATGAAAACAAACTGAACTATTAACACCTCAAGTCAAATGGATTTCTAGATCAGTTCTCAATAATTCTACCATATCAGTTTCTCTATCAACATGTACCAAGATCAGCTGTGGTGGCTGTCCACATCACCACTTCCCCTCCAGAACTGTCATTGTTCATTATATTAGAGATGGTTTCAGGTGCTGATTTCTCTCTACATGTATTTTGCTGAGCACTGCCTGTGAAAATCTTGACTCATCTGTGAGAAAAAAGCTTCAATGCTCACATGTATAATTGCTATCTACTCCATTCTAATAAAGCTTTTATGGGTGTAGGTAAGTGGAATGCAGATTAGTCTTTGGCATACAAAAAGTATTTCTCTCAAAGTATTCTTGCTGTAGTAAGTCTTGATATTGGTCTCATTATCATGGCAAGATGAAGAATTGAACTATTGTGGCATATTATGCTTTAAATTTGGGACTGATCACCAATTATATACTATGATCAACCTTTGAATATCCATTTGGTACATATTTCTGCTTACAGAAACTTTTGCCATAGCACTGAAATTACATTTTTAAAACAATCTGGTAACTTCTTGACTTCATCCTACTAGTCACTTTTTCTCTGTCACTCAAATGGCATTGAAGAGAATTGTGATTTAGTGACATAGTTGCAAATAAAAAGTATTTCCAAAATAAAGGCAAGCTACTTTTGAAGTTCTGTAATTTTTATAAAAAGTGCACCATAACATTTGCATATGGCTTTAATATCAATTGATTAACACATTCAGGCATGCTAATTTTTATTTAGGAAAGTGTCATTAATCACTAACTAAAACATGGAACTTATAAGATTATCCTGACATTCATAAGTTATTTAAAAAGAAAATGTGCAAAGCTTATATTTGTGAAATAGGAATTGGAAACTTGTATATTTTATAATTACAGTAGAACCTCGATTATCCGGACTAATTGGGGATGAAGGTAGTCCGGATAAGGAAAAATCCGGATAATCGAAACAAATACTTTAATTTGTCTTTTAATGATAATACAACACGTTTTCTTTTCGATGACATATCGGTAATATTAAAAGTAAATACTGTATTTAAATCGTGATCAAATTTTCAAGAAACAAACGTTCGTATTGAATTTGGACTACTACTGACCAACGCTAACAGACTACCTATTGTTTAAAAGGCCCTCTGGTGGCGCAAGAAGACGGATTTTATAAAATAAAAAGCAGTTGAAACTGCATTTTTATGAATAAAAATTTGACAAACTATTTATCGTTTTATGACGAGTAAAATTTTTTCGTCGCGTTCGCGGCTTTTAAGTAATGCATAAACCTTCGAGGCGCGAGGCCCTTCGGACCGCGAGGCATAGGCGGTGGCCCACGTCGTCCTTGCTTTACGCCGCCCTTGGTCATAGAAATGATGTAATTTGAATATAAATTATTTATAAATACGTATGTCAAGTTATATTTTTATTACTACGTAAAATATATTTAAGAGTTTACGACCACTGTGCCGAGTGAGACGTTGTTGAAATAAAAAAAGTTGTGCATTCCATCACGTACATGAACAGTGTCGTAATTCGCCAAGTGCAAATCAGCAAATTCGTAAAATTTTTGCTTATTTTGAACAATCCGGATAATAGAGGTTCTACTGTACTTAACGCCCACTTTTATTATTAAAAAGTTTTTTGTACAACATATACATGCTGATAAAAGGAATTGAAAATTATTCCGTAATTATTTTTTTAATTTAATAAATGACAATCAACGAGATTTAGCTTGTTATAATCCATAATATACAGTATCTTGTACCAAAATTTGAAATTCTTTCTTTCCTTTTTTAAAATTTATTCCTTAAAAGTATTTGAAGTTTTTGTATATTAATCAATAACTAAAATTTTAAGCCGAAATTACATTAATTACTCGTATTGTTTTAAGTAGAAAAGATAGTTTTCAATTGAATTCGGGTTAATGTCCATTTATAACGTTCAGAGTAGGGTTTCTCAAACGAGATCCCGGAATTCCGGTTGTTTTTTAACCCGAGAAATCCCGCAAATTTCTTAAAAGTTCACTTTTTTCTTATTTTGTGTTAAGGTTGAGGAACTTTTTCAAATAGAAAATATAAGTAACTCATAAACTGTCAGAATACAGTATTAATTTTAACCAATGGCGTCGTCGAACGGTCCACACTCGGTAAGTAATCCTACAATTTCTGTTTATAACCTAGTTTATACGGATTATTCCCAAAAAATTATACATGTTTTGGAAATGTTGAGTCAAATTAGTCTAGAATCGATTAATTTATGGAAGAAAACCTTTCAAACAGCCGTAGTCCGTAAACTGCACACGTGCCGGGCTGTGATTGGCTTATGTATTTAAGGATTCCTACAACGCGAAATTCTTATAAATTGGAACGTATCTACCGAGTTATAGGGGGGTCGATCGTATTAAAAGAATTTCGAATGTTTACAGCTGTCTCTCCATATGCTCCAACCAAACTTACGCCGCGAAGCGATTGCAGCGCTCGAAGTGGCAAAATATTTATTACGTCAGCATCGTAGCATTATAGCTGTTGGCAGCTCAAGGACCGGTATATCTGTTAGGCTTAACGAACGAAAATGCTTATAGCGGAAAAACGTCCACAACGCGTTGTGACTAACTCAAAAATACCACAAAACGAAATTCTCGTCGTGGCTTTCGTGATATTTGACCACTAAGCGTTGCGCTGATTAAGAAAAGCCATAACGCGTTCTGAACGTTAGCTGATGCAACTACGATACGACGGACAGGTTGTAACTTGTCAACGGGTGCATTGTAAACACCCGCCGAGTTCATTCTTGACTGTCATTTCCGAGTGTGAACATCTGTGCGGAAGATCTTGATCGATTTTATGCTCGTAATGAATTTACAATCTCTGAGAGTAACTTTATTAACACTTCGCTCAGCATCCACGTTAATATCTGAACGTAAGCAAGGTTTTTATAATGTGTCACTGTAAAAGATACTGTATTAATAAAAAATGCAAATGTCGCTGAAAGAACATAAAATGCAACTGGAAATATCATGGTAATAGTTCTTGTAAAAATAAATACACCGCAACATTCTCGATTCTCATTAAAAAAAGACTGATTTATTAATAAAAGTTCCTGACAAAGTAATTCTTTTTAGTAAGTTAGTTGTTGAAAAATGTTGACATCTCGAGCACCGCAGCAGACTTTCGTGAATGATTAAGCGTTTGGGGGGGCGGAAAAATCAACTCCAGAGTATCGGCGACTCTGACTATACATCAGTGTTTCCCAACGTGGGGCCCGGGCCCACGCCCCACGGGGGGACAGTTGGATTGTTAAGTGGGGCAATTCGAAAATGGACTCGTCCGGAGTTTAAGTTAACCGTATAGCCGCTGTATATGTTAGGGGGCATAAGAATTTTAGAAAGGCTTAGGTGGGACATAGCACAAAAAAAGGTTGGGAAACACTGGTATACACGGTATATATAAATCAGTCAGTGACTTTTTACTTGGTGCGGAATCTCTCTGCCATGACTTTATAAGCCAGACACTAGTTAGTACGATTGCTGAAATTATTCTTAAAAGTTAAGGATTTGCAGAAGTCTATTATAAATATCCCCTATTTATAAAACTCATGCTCATAAAATACCATAAAATTCAGAATAAAATTACAAAATATAAAAAAGCAGTAGCT